ACTCTTCATTCCTAAGACTATGAGAACATGAAATGTGAAGATCACGACCGCACCAATTCGGAAATACGAGTGAGCAAATGTAGTAAGCCACTAGACGCATCATATCATTAAGAATGGCACATTCATGTTTTGAATGGAAAACAAGTTCGTCTTCATTAGGAAAAACTATCCCACAGTAGTAACTGTACATATAATCCACTTGATAAAGTTGGGACAACAATTCTTGAAAAAATTACTTAGTGATTGATGCAGATAACAAAGCTCACTATTGACCGAACCATTGAAATTGAGTCCTCCGAGTTTTTGTACAAAGCTCAATCATCAATCGATGCAGATTCAGTGAAGTATATTAATTCCAATTGAGGCAAAACTACCTCTTCATTCCATAGACTATGAGAACATTAAATGTGAAGATTGCGACCACACCAATTTGGAAATACAAGTGAGCAAATGTAGCAAGCCACATGACGCATTATATCCTCAAGAATTATACATTCATTTTCAGAATGGAAATCAAGTTCGTCATCGTTAGGAAATCCATCCCACAATAGCAACAGTACATATAATCCATTTGATAAAGTTGGGAAAAATTCTTTAAAAAATTACCTAGTGATTGATGCAGATAACAAAGCTCACTATTGACCGAACTATTGAAACCGCGTCCTCGTACGAAGTTGGATCATCGTTCGATGCAGATTTGGTGAAGTACATAAATCCCAATAGAGGCAAAACTAACTCTTCATTCTAAAGACTATGAGAATAGGAAATGTGAAGATCACGACCACACAAATTCGGAAATACAAGTGAGCAAATGTAGCAAGCCATATGACGCATCACATCCTCAAGAATTACACATTCATTTTTAAAATGGAAAGCAAGTTCGTCATCGTTAGGACAAGCCATCCCACAATAGCAACTATACATATAATCTACTTGACAAAGTTGGGAAAAAAAATTCTTTAAAAAATTACCTAGTGATTGATGCAGATAACAAAGCTCACTATTGGCCAAACCCATTGAAACCGAATCCTCCGAGTCCTCGTACGAAGCTGAATCATCGTTCGATGCAGATTCGGTGAAGTACATAAATATGAATGGAGGCAAAACTACATCTTCATTCCAAAGACTATGAGAACATAAAATGTGAAGATCACGACCACACCAATTCGGAAATACAAGTGAGCAAACGTAGCAAGCTACATGGCGCATCATATCCTCAAGAATTACACATTAATTTTCAGAATGGAAAGTAAGTTCGTTATCATTAGGAAAAGCCAGCTAACAATAGCCACTATACATAAAATCAAAATCATCAACCCTTTTTATAATTCACTTGATAAAGTTGGTAGATAAAATTTTTAAAAAAATTACCTAGTGATTGATGCAGATAACAAAACTCACTATTGACCATGTACATGTTTGATGTTGCAGCAATCTTCAAACTTCATTTTGTTCATTGCTGTCTCCATGGTTTTGAAACAACCATGGTCCACCAGCGATTTGATGAAAGCTCCGCTGTTGATAAGCAGCTCCCCATTCGCTGAGACCACGCCCACAGCCGTGGCTCCTTTAAAAAATTCCGTCATTTTTATCTTCCAAGAGATAGAGTCCGCCGAATCCCCTTCATCAAGAAAGGTTTGGACTTGTTTGTGGTCATCAGGGCTTACCTTGATGACCACCTCTCTCGGGGCTAACTTCTCACACACAATAATAGTGTGCTTGAACGAACTCGGTATCCTTCCAAAAAATGGAGTGCAAATGCCCTTGGTAGAATTTGTCAATGCCTCATCTCTTGTTGAGCCTTCCACTGTAGAGTCTGCCCCTTCCTCTGTAGAGCCTTCCCCTTTCTCATCATCCTCATCAGTATCATCCTACAATGAAAAATGCAAGTTTCTAAAGTCACTGTGGACATCACTTACAAATTATAAGGGGCTTTATAAGCCAAGTCAATCAAGAATTTATTCTGCCCAATAATAACAGACAACAAACACAAGTGTATTTTCTTCATAGCAATGTACATTGTGAAAACAACCAACCTTCAACTGAAGTCAAGTTAGCTTAACAATTGTGTCTGTAGATTGCTTAGGAAGAACCAAATAATGAGCCATACATCATTGGAAACATGCGGAAGTCTCAGTTTTTGCAGCATTTTACGGTTCATGATTCCGAGTCTTCTAGAGGAAGTTATACAAATGTTATCTATTTGTTATTATGTTATTTCTTTCATGAGTTTGTTGTTTGGTTCTTAGGTTATATAAGCAACATGGTAAAAAAATCATTATGAGAGTCTCTAAAGTAATTACAGTTAAAATGGCTATAAAGCTATTATAGCAAACTACTTAAAAAGTGTATTGGTTCAGCACGTTAATACAACAAATGATGATAACAAGGTAAACTTTTTTTACTTTTCAGCAAGTACAACATTAAAGGTTATGTTTTTATAATTTATTTAAATCCTTATTTAAGAGTATCTGACGTTCGAATTGCTTATGGTTGTACATGAAAATAGTGTATTTGACAAAATCTCAAACCAGGATGCAGAGTGTAATAGGCATGCTTCGGTTGTCTCTTCGGGTTGGAGTTATTCAATTACAATGAACAACAGTGATCTTAGTCTTCTAATTCTGAAAGAATTGAAAAAATAGAAAACATAGCAATAAGCATTGTTTTATTGGAGAAATATTTACTTTACCTACCTATAAGTTAATGATGACAAGTGACAAATATAGGTGGCGTAAAAATCGTGCACTTTAGTAGCTCAAACATGCAAAATGTTCGTCATATCATTTGGACTTACAAAACAGTTTGTCGGATTAGGTATTGTTTTTATTTCAAATTAGGAAAACGAAAATCATAACCTTGATGATGTGTCACGCCCCGGACCCGGGGGTCGGTGGAAATCCCGCGCCCGGTGCGTGAGAAAATAAAAAGAAGCCGAAACATAAAATAAACTTTTCTTATAATATTTGATCCAAAATCTTACAACTTTACAAGAAATGAATAAAGCTCTATCACTCTCATCTAATTCAGTTTGAACTGATTTAGTCTTTGTCTTGCCCACTAATTCATCTGAAAAATTAAACATGGTGAGGGATGAGCAACCACCGCTCAGTGAGTAGATTATGTAATATGCCAGTCAAGCAATGCTTTTTTACATACTCTAGAAAATATCATGAAAAGATACACAAATCCAGATCATATCACATCATCCCTTCATATCTCGGTTATCCTTCATAGCATGTAACCAACCACGTGACTCCTGTTGGCCTCATTGCCCTATGTCCCCGTGTGGTACATCTATCCCTCGGATACTCCAACATTGAAGTTCTCATGTTCCATGAATAATACATACTTATATTCCAATCAATATATATACATAGTGTGAAAGATTGCACCATATTAGACATGCTTGACTTGAAATGGAGAGATATTTGTAAATAGAATAAATCCACAATAATTCATGATTTTCATATTTTATCACAAAATAAGAACTTTTAGAACATATTACATAAACCACTCACCTCGCTAATGAGAACCCTTTAAATAAATTGGCAAGATAACCCATCTACCTATCTCCTCCAATATCAAATTTCCTTGCGTCTCTCTTTAGTCCTCTAACTCTAACAACTTATCATATTGCATGCATATTATCTCTAGATGTAGAAGTAAACAACTTGCAAATGCAAGCTCCCTATTTATACTAGAATGAAGTCGGAAACTAATGGCTCTTGATTGGTGGAATGTAGGTTTGGTGATATGCTTGACTCCAATATTATCCAACTTTCCCCTAATGCCAACAGCTCATACTTTGAACAAAGGCTTAGTCATCTAGGTAGACACTTGTGAAGAAACTAGGGTGGTGTATGTGGGTAAGTTTTGATGTAAATATCACATTGAGTGATAAGGCTTTGTACGTGGCAAGTTATCCATATATACAATTACAACCAATATAAATATATAATCAATAAAACGAAATTTTAACTTATAAACCTATATAGATAGCAAAACATTTGTTTTCCTAATATATATATATATAATTTTAAAATACAGGACTTCACATGATGATACTCTAATTTTGTAACAACATTTTTCTTTTGGTATAGTAGAAAACTTAATCAAAGATATAAAGACTTTTTACGCTAGATACTTTATATCACTTTAGCATCTCAAGTGAATGAGTTTACACTTTTATTTATTTTTATACTCATTTTTGTACCAGTTTTACAAACATCGTACCCGTTGCTATGTGGAGAAATTAGAGCACAAAATTAAGATACACAAAAAAGGGAAGGGCCGCTATAGAAGCTAAAAGTAGCCTATAGTAGAGTAGTCGGCCTAACAAAAGCGTCAAGGCAACATAAAATTCCCCTTATAAATGTAAAATCATGAAACTGTTCCTTTAATCCTCAATCAATTTCTTATTAATTGTTTTATTGTTAAACAAGGCTTCTTATATAGAAACGAAAGGATTTTCCTTTTGTCTCTTGTCTTTTGAAAATAACAGTATTTTTGGTATAGTTTTCTTCCGATAATTGGAGTAGGCATGTAGCAAAGGATAAACTATCAAAATTGAAGGTGAGTATACGTGTTCCCAAATTATGCTAAAATTTGTCAATTAAAAATTTATAAGTATATGATTAAACTTGTCTCATCTCATGTTATTTATGTATAGATTGACAATGAAAAAGTGAAAGATCATTTAGAGAGGAACGGGTGGCATAAGTGGGCTTGATCGTTGCATGTCTTCCTCCTATGTAAATATTTATGTCCATAATCTAAAACTACGATGTTGTGTAGAATGAAAATATTATTTTACTTAAATTATTTGAGATTTTCCTATTAATGTTGGATTTGCTTTGGATAATATTAACGTGTGGGTAATTACTTGAATAAGAATCCCCCTAGCTCCTAAAGTTCATTAGACTAGCCTCTTTTTTTTTTTAATCATGTTCGCTACGCGCGACTTACAAAGTTTCGTAAATATTTTTTCGCAATTGTATTTATATAGATGTCCGTGGAGTGCCACAGTGACCACCGGGAGTGCCGTCATTTTTCAACAATTTCATGAACCCTCCTTCACCCCACTTTTCACCCCACGAGTTCTTGAGTATCCAGTACTGGTCATTGGTAGCTTTGTCAATCCGCATCCCAACAAGTGAAACCGAATGGCTAATGTCTGTGCCACATTCCGAGCGATATATCCCGCCTCTGTACTGTGAAAAGTTGGAGCCGTGGGCATTGATCCCGACCACTACTGGCTGTTCGCAGAGAGCATAGGCAAGCTGGTCCTTATTCCTTGGGTTCACGATTGTATAGGCATCGATCTCTAGACCATCTCCTTTTTCCTTGACAGTGTCACAGGTTCTTTGGATACCATGGTATAGGTAATTTTGTTCGGTGTTTAGACCTTCATTTAAGATTATGTAAGTGAATGCATCCAATACATTTCCACCTCCACACCCGTGGTTGGCAACATTGTAGTCGATGAGCTGTTGCACGGATAGCAATATTGGAGGATTTTGTAATTGAAAAGTTAAAGCATGAAGAGCTTCCACGGCTGCAATGGTTGCAAATGCCCAACAAGAACCTGTACATATAATATAATATTACAATTAGAGTTAGACACACAATATATGTATAAAATAATTAGCACAAAGTAAGAAAAATGAAAAATGAATCCATATGTAATGGTTGCAGTACAATACCAAAAGTAAGTCCTTGACTCCTTATGCGTTTGATACTGGCAAAAGATTCTGACCAGTCAATGCCCCTGTCACATATTCTGCTAAAGTCATCAAGGGAGGTAACTCTCTTTTTAATCCTCTTGTTAGAAGGAATAGGAGGTGGATTATGCAGGATGGGTACTGTGCAGTGGAAAGCTCTCTTTTCATCCTCGTCCATATCAGAAAACAGGTTCAACCCAACCGTAAACGATTGCTTTGGCTCCTTTATAATTTTTTTTATGAATAATACTGTCACACTAATTATGTTGAAAAAATAATGTACCTATTACTTGTTTTATGAAAAATATAATTTACCTAGTATGAAAAGTGTACCTGTTTTTAATTTATAAAAAGTGTACATAATTATCTTTTCCAATATACCTACATTATACAACATTCAACATACCTACATAAATTTTAATGTACTTACGATTAGGATTTAGGTATTATATGTCATCCAATATACCTACCATTTGAATAATAAACCTACTACGAAATATGTATAGGTAAATTATTATATGTATAGCTATATATACATATTATTTATGAACGAACATATATTATATGTATTATGAGAATGTTTTGATTTGTTGAGTCCAAGCAACACCATAATAATGGAAAGGCTAGATATTAGGGATTGTTTAGGAAAAATGGTTGGATAACAAAAATGGCAGGGTTTTGTAAATAAGTAATAAGAAATGGGCAACTTTTATCCTTCATGGCATCCATTTTCAAAATTGGGTTTTGGTTGGAAGAAAATATGTAGATGTTGTAAAAGTAAATAGAGAAAGTATATGAAAGGTAAGAGTAGTTCTCAATAGCTCAATACTCAAGTCACTTATTCATCTTTAGTGCCTACTATTTATAGACATAGGAAATACATCACCATTTACCACCCTTAAGTAGTGGGTTACAAAACATAATAACCAATGATAAATATGGTATTTAGTGCATAGGTTACAACCCTATAATGATAGGTATAATGATGGGTGTAATGGAGGAATTACACCATAACCATTGAGGTTACAACACTCCCCCTTGGATGTCCACCATGTATGGAGTATGCCTCGTTAAAAACCTTGCCAGTAAAACCTAGTGGGACAAAAACTGGTCAAAGGGAAAAAGAGTGCATAACCATGTGTAACATAAAATTCTATGCATATAACACTGACACGCGTGCGACACTGCCTCGTTAAAACTTTGCCAGGAAAATATCTTATTGATGGCAAGCTCCCCTTGATGCTGACAAAATATCTTTAAGCCATATTGTTGACCATATTTTTGATTGTTGTAGTTGGCACTGCTTCTGTGAATCAATCTTGCAATATTATTGGATGCTCCCCCTGAAGAATTACTCCTCTTGCTATCTTTATACTTCTTTGATGATCCAACATAAATGATATTGATCACACATCCATCCTTCACGAAGTGATCTTTGGTAATGCTTGTATAAAACTTGTTGTTGCAACATCATTAGAGGATCTATATGTGTCATCATTCATCTAATCCCTGTTGAGGTTAGAGTACAACAAAAATATCTAGGCTATTTTCTTAAGCCTTTTACTGTATACAATGGCTTAAATAATTTCATATGCTCTTCGATATAAAAAAAATAAAAATAAAAACAATAAGCTCATATTTATAATGATAAAAGCATTGAAACTTTATATGGTATAATTAGTCATTTATACATATTCTTGTATGTTTTGAGAACAATTGCATATATTATTCTTTATAGGCTATCAGGAGTCTTTAAACATTTTTCATAACTTTAAACATTTGAATACGTTGCAATATCTTTAAATTTTGAATTCAATCAAGGTACTTACTGAGGCAATTTATTCATTTTAAGATGAATGAGTACTTATACTGAGCTTCAGGCTCTTTCACTTATCCAAGATTTCTTTGTGCAATTTATATATTGCATGACACATTATATCTCTTAGGATTTGTTCCTTTGTATTTCTTAAGAAATCGTTTCTAGCAATATGTTTCAAACACTTCATAATCTTTATAGATTTTCCATCTCAAATTCCTTTATTAAATAAGGGGAGGTTTTTCTAAACTCTTCAAGAGTTCCAACAAAATTCTTCATATATACTGTAATGATGGTAAAACCCATTTCTTGATTTTGGATTATTTATATATCCCTTTTATAAGAGATATTCAATAGGACAATTATACCGTATTCTTCTAAAATACTTTAATCCACACAAGGATTATTACAAGCCATCATATTTTAAATAATTTGCTTCGTGCATTTTAAATCCTTTAGGGATTTTCATGAATTATGCATAACATATGTGCATATGTTTACCATCATAATCCCATGTCTTTACAGGGAAATATTGTGCCATATCAAGTATTTTATTTCACTTTACAAACAAACACCCATTTGTAACATGTACATCTTCATATATTTTGGTGTTTGAACTATAGGTTCAATCATTCCACTTTTTCCGAAAATTTTCAACTTTACTCGATTGCCTCTTCCAATTGGCCAATCTTTGTTTTCATTTTTCCACAACTATAACAAGTGATGCAATATCATTATGTATAGCCCTTGATAATTTTAGTACGTACAATAAACCAATAGATCATCAATTCCTGATCCCTCCATTCTTATGTGCATGCGCATGCATATTTTATAAGCATCTCATTGCTTTCATTTCTTTATGGTATACCAATATCTCTTCAGGAGCTTTAATTGTCGCATATGGACAGTGGCGGACCCACAGAGGCGCAAGGAGGTGCACCTCCTCTCGCCGGAAAATGCGTTGGAGATGCAGGAATTGCCCCTTTGCTTGTGCCCACCAAGTGTTCGATTAAAAGCCTCAAAGAGGCTGTTTTGTTGCTGCTGTGTGAAACCCTGAATATTTACCTTAGATTGTTGAGCTCGATCACACGATCACGTAGGAGAAAACGGTTCGTCAATTGGACCTCCACAACCAAAGTTTTAGATTTTAGAAGATTTTGAAAATTTTTCACTTAAGTTGCAGACACAACCAGTCGAAGAAGATGACTCCTGTTTGTAGTTAGAATCCTGTGCTTCTCAACTTGCATTTCTTTTTAATGTGGTCCACTATCAAGGCGCCATGTGTCAAATTTTAACTAGACCAAATTTAAAAATTCATTAAAAATTCATATGTGCTCCAAAAAATTCACCGAAAAATACCCCAAACTCATAATCACATCTACTTTTATCTTGTGACCTCCAAATCACATGTACTTTAGGTTAGATTAATTGATATTGATTTTGATTAGATTAATGGATGATTTCATATGAATTTTGATAGACTAATTGTGTAATTGACATGCATTTTGTTTATATTTGATATTAATTTTGGTAAATAATTGTGTAACATGAATTTTGTGCATTTAATTTATATACAAAATAGACTATAGTCGATTAGGCTTAGATGTAAAACTCTTATTTATTTTAATTATAAATAACATTAGTATTGTTTAAATTGTAAGGCTATTTGGTTATTATTATTATTTTTTTATGATGTTTTAGCCTTTTAACATTGTCCCTTCCCTGAAAAATTCCTAGATCCGCCACTGCATATGGACAATCATCTCTTATAAGATGAACTATTTATCGAATGTGGATCACAACCTTCTTTAGGGCGTTATTTTGATTAGGGCTTGCATTTTTGCAATTAACCTCCACTTATGTAGAGTTAAGTCTTTTGAACCTATAGATCTGTCATGCTTCAGGCATCTAACAACTTTTATGGGAGTTAATTTTTGCAATCTATAAATTTGTCATGCTTCAGGCATGTAACAAATTACTCATTAGTAGATATGCTTCTGGTATTTGACTTACAATGTTTTAGGTTGCATCTATCTACTATACCAATTTGTTGATAAGACAATAATAATTGTATTTCATAGTCATTCACGTTGTTATTTTGTTCTTTCAAGAACAACCAATTCTCCCCCTAATGACGTGAAAATAGTCTCAACAAAATGATACCAAGAATGTCATAAGTATTGTCCTTCAAGAATCTTAATGCATTCGGCATGCATCATATTAATATTGACATGTTAATGGGTTGTCCTTCTGGGACTTTAATCTATGCAGTGTATTATCAATGTATTCAACTTGTAATCTTTTAGAATTTGCATTGTATTTAAGAATTTGGAAATGAATACATATCAGGATGATTCAAGCCTTTTCTCTGGAATTGTCTTTTGTAAATAATCCAAGTCATTCTTCTGGAACAATATTTTGTACATAATGCAAGTCATTCTTCTGGAACACTCTTTTGTACATAAAACATGTCGTTCTTATGGAGTGATTTCTTGCATGCCATTCTTCTGCAATGGTCTTATCTTCTCATTTTGTGCTTTTAACTACAGGTTCAAATTAATTATAAGAATAATTAAAATTAAGAACCAAGGAACTTGAAAGTTCAATTAGAATTTGGTTACAATATTTTGATTTCATTGTGGAAAACATAATAAAGATATAATTAAAAACAAACGTTTAATTCTGAACTTCAAGTTGAATTAAAATATTATATATGTTATGCCAGAACTGCAGATTCTTGACAAGGTATGAACTCCAGGTTCATATTAATATTAATCTCAATAAAAATGATGAACCATGGATATATATTAACATATATCTGGAACTTCAGGTTCGAGTACATATATCAAATTTAAAGGAATATTTGGTTTTGAACTTCAAGTCCAAATTTGTATTAATATGATATTTTTCATGGTAATAAAATAAAATGATAAAAAAAAAATTAGAAAACATGAAATCCAAATAATGTCGAAACTTCAAGTTCTTAACATGATGTATATTTTTCAGCCCAAAATCATAATACATATGCACTTGTTGAAATATCAATTTGGAGGTTGACACAATTAGAAGATCAGGTTCTAGAATTTTCCTTTTTTTTAAAAAAAAATTTAATGCACATGCGGCCGAAACTTTTAGGTTGGATTAGACATAATTAGAAATTCGGGTTCTAAGATTATTGAACTTCAGGTCATATTAGGAACTTCAATTCCTTAAATATAAATTATTGAAATAAAAATAAATAACTAGATATTAAAATACTTGAATAAAATAAATTGTTGGAACTTCTGGTTCCAGTTGAAAAATAAAAATAAAAAAATCAAAGAACTCCAAGTCTTGATTTGCTTTCTGAGATTTGCAGAACT